CCGCACTCCAGTCTGGGCGATAGTGAGACTCCAACTCAAAAGAAAAGTCTTGACTCAGTTGTGGCAATGTTTATTTATGTAATTAGTTTACAGTTTTCTTCTTGGTTGCGTGCTACAGTGCCATAGTTGTTCTCTGCAAAATTGCTTGAGGGTGAGGATGGTAAGGAGAAGCTACAGAATGTGAAGGGAGTTTCTAGGAAGCAGCTTTTGTTTTGGAGAGAATGAGATGTTATAAAACTATACTTTTGCATTATTTTTAAGAAAATTTTTTTTATTTTTCTAATTCATATGGGTTCTTATTATGTTACCCAGGTTGGTCTTGAATTTCTGGCCTCAAACAGTCCTCCCACCTTGGTCTCCCAAGTGCTGGGGTTACAGGTATGAACCACTTCACCCGACTTTTTATTTATTTATTTATTTTTGAGTTGGAGTCTCACTCCGTCACACAGGTTGGAGTGCAGTGACACGCTCCTGGCAACTGCAACCTTGACTTGCTGGACGCAGGCGATCTTTCTGCCTCAGCCTTCTAAGTAGCTGGAACTACAGGGACATGCCACCATGCCCAGCTAATTTTTTTAATTTATCGTAGAGTTGAGGTCTTGCCGATTTGCCCAGGCTGGTCTCAAACCCAAAGTCTCAAGCAGTCTTCTCACCTTGGCCTTCTAAAGTGCTGGGATTATAGGCATGAGCCACTGCACCCAGCCTGCACCCAAATTTTTAATACCTCATTAGTGCCATTGACACTAATTGTTGTATAGACATTTTCCTCCCTGGTATAAAGACTTGGATGAACAGGTGGTAGTGTGTTAATAATCTATTAAGTTTTCTTCCCCCGTACTGAGGAACAAAAAATATTTCAAAAATGTTATTATGAAAATTGTCAAACTTGGAAAAGTAGAAAGACTATACAAGAATCATGCCCCCCATGTACTTTTTTCAATAGTTATCAAGATTGGTCACATTTGTTTTATTAAATTTTTTTTTTTTTTTTTGAGTTGGAGTCTCATTCTGTCGCCCAGACTGGAGTGCAGTGGCCACTCCCGGCCACCGCAGCCTCGACCTGCTGGGCTCCGGCGATCCTTCTGCCTCAGCCTTCCAAGTAGCTAGAACTACAGGTGCACGCTACCACGCCCGGCTAATTTTTGACTTATTGTAGAGATGAGGTCTCGCCAAGTTGCCCAGGCAGGTCTCGAATCCGTGGGCTCAGGCAGTCCACTCACCTCAGCCTCCCAAAGGCATGGGATTACAGGCACATTTGTTTTATTTATCCACCTTTTTCTTTACTGAAGTGTTTCAGCTCCTTTATGTTAATTCTCAGACTTTTATGTTAATTCTACTCCTGCATACTTTTACGTGCATCTCTAAATATATGGACATTTTCCTTCATAATCACAGAATCATTTTAACATCTGACAAAATTAACTGTAACAGCCAGGCGCAGTGGCTCATACCCATAATCCCAGCACTTTGGGAGGCTGAGGCAAGAGGATTCCCTGAGTCCAGGGGTTCAAGACCAGCCTGGGTAACTTGGTGAGACCTTGTCTCTACAATAAATCAAAAAGTGAGCTGGACATAGTGGTGCGTTCCTGTGGTTCCAGCTACTTGGAAGGCTGAGGTGAAAGTGGTAGTGGGTCACGGCTGCTATGGCCGTGAGCGCACCACAGCACTTCAGCCTGGGCAACAGAGTGAGACTTCTACTCAAAAAAATTAATTAATTAATTAACTATAACAATATCTATAGAGAATTCTTGATTCTCTAAATGGACAACTCAGTCTGATTTTTCTCATTAAAGAATGACCTGTTGGCCAAAGGCACAGAGCAGTATGGTATAGTAAAAAACTAGCCTTCTGGTTTTTTTTTTATTTTAATGCATATTCTTCATTGAGGAACTACAAGGCAACGGGTACCCCAACATCTTACACATCTGTGCACATTACTTTTCCTTCAAAAACTAGTCCTTTCATTTTTGCTCTGGATTTCATCTTTTCTTTTCTCAATAACTAGCCTTAGTCAGTTACCTACTTTTATTAAATTGACATACAGCTATGTTTTCTTTTCAGCTTAGAAACAAAAAACAGCAGACTGGGCATGGTGGCTCACGTCTATAATCCCGGCACTTTGGGAGGCCGAGGCAGGTGGATTGCTTGAGCCTAGGAGTTAAGACCAGCCTGGGCAACATAGTGAAACTCTGTCTTTTTTTTTTTTTTTTTTTTTTTTGAGTCGGAATTTCACTCTGTCGCTCAGACTGGAGTACAGTGGCCACTCCCGGCCACCACAGCCTCAACCTGCTGGGCTCCGGTGATCCTTCCACTCAGCCTTCCAAGTTGCTGGAACTATAGGCACGCGCTACACCGCCCGGCTAATTTTTTGATTTATTGTAGAGATGAGGTCTCATCAAGTTGCCCAGGCGGGTGTCGAACCCGCGGGCTTGGGCAGTCCGCTCACCTCTGCCTCCCAAAGCGCGGGACTACAGACTGAGCCACCGAGCCTGGCCACTCTGTCTTTTTTAAAAAAAAAGAAAAAAACAAAAAACAGGCCTTCACAGACTGTGTATCTCCTGCTAGCTCTACAGTTCTACTACATGGCAAATCATATATTTAGATGGCTGTTTGCTGAGTGTGGAATCAGTGTGAATAGACTTAGGTGATCTTAGGTAGTGTCTCTTGACTAAGTAGCTTCAGTTATTCCCACATGTCATGTGAATAGCAGGCCAAGAGGTACAATCGGCTTACCTAAGGCTTCTTTCCTTCACCTTGGATAATAATCACCATTGTAGGCTACCATGATATTTCTACTGCCCCCACCCATGGTTTTTTTTGTTTGTTTGATTTTGTTTAGATTTTTTTCCAGAGAAAGTATAATACAGTTGATTTGTTTTCAGCCTAATAAACAGCAACAATCTAGGTCAACCTTTCTGAGAGTGTTCTTATATCCAGTAAGTAAACCAAGGTTATTGTCTATCTAGGAGTAAGTTTGAGATCTAAAAGAAAGGTGTAGGCTGGAGTTGTAGAACTATAGCTTATATAGACATTGATATGTTAGATCATCTAAAGGGAAAGAGAAGAGTAAGAAAAAGGAATGCTGAGGTGTTTAGTTTAATGGTGGAAAAGAAGAGTCCAGTTAAAAAAAAAACTTAGCCAGGCTCGGTGGCTCAGCCTGTAATCCCGCGCTTTTGGGAGGCTGAGGTGAGTGAATTGCCTGAGCCTGCGGGTTCAAGACCCGCTTGGGCAACTTGGCGAGACCTCAGCTCTACAATAAACCAAAAAATTAGTCAGGCGTGGTAGCGCGTGCCTGTAGTTCCAGCTACTTGGAAGGCTGAGGTGGAAGGATCACCGGAGCCCAGCAGGTCGAGGCTGTGGTGGCTGGGAGTGGCCACTGCACAGAGTGAGACTCCAACTCAAAAAAAAAAAACTTGAGAAATAGTAGCCAGAGATGTAGAAGAAAGCCAGGGTAAAAGTGTTTCAAATGAAGTCTGGTCAGTTGTGTTGAGTACTGCTAAGCCATCAAGGACCCAAAAGTGGATACTGGATTTAGCAACACTGAGATAGTTGGTGATCTTGAGGAGCTGAGCTAGTGGTTGGGTGGACAAAATCTAGGTCTCAGTGGGTAGCAGAGTGCAATGTAAGGTAGTGGATTAAACTGTGAATGGAAAGTATGGGAGTAGAACAAGGAACTGGAAAGGTTACTCTTTTGGAAAACTTCATCTTAAAGGAATAATATTAAAGGCATAAAGTCTGGAGAGATTTTAGATAAAATCCTGATTTGAACTGTAGAATTTTAAAAATTAATTTAGTCAATTTTTGTTTTTTTGTTAATAAGTGAAAGGGGAGGGGTTGTCCTTGATATGTTGCCTAGGCTGACCTTTAACTCCTGGCCTCAAGTAACCCTCTGTCCTGACCTTTCAAAGTGCTAGGATAACAGGTATGAGTTTTTTTTTTTAGATTAATGTTTTCACATTCTCTTGATATAATAATTATTCTCCAGCTCTGATTTCTCTTCATGAGCCTTTTCTTCAATTGTAAGAACCTGAGTTTGAGAGTTTTTTAGATGTAGGAAACTATGTATTACTCAAGCACAATTAGTAAAAGGAGAAATAATGGGAATTGAGAATAGAAGAATGTAACATGGAAGGTAGAGCAGATGAGGTTTTTGTTGTCAAAAATAAGAGGAGCTGAACTTTGGCCTGAGCACTTGGGAGAGGGGATATAAAGCTGAATAGTGCGTACAACTTTGTATTTTGGGCAGAGGGTTGAGAAATGCCTATTTAGCTAAATAGAGTAGGTTAAGTAAAGAGTCAGAAACCTTCCATCTTAAGCACCCAAGGTATAATGGATTCCTGGGGCTGTAGGGAGGCATGTAGACGTAGAGGCATAAGCCACTTGTTCACAGAGTTTATGATTTTAATTTAGACTGTAGAAATTATTCCTTCAGATTATCTCAATGTCACTAAGCTTTGTACTATCATGAAAAATCAAGAAGACTATTATTGAACGGAATATAGACACACACATTTCTCTTGGAATGCACATCTGCAACAAAGCAAAATGCATGACAAGTGCCCACATTGAAACCTGTGGGGAAGGGCGAATCTGGGAAGTTTTTAATAAGTTTTAAAAACATTATTGTATAGTAATTATTAATTTATGATGTGTAAAGTGTTCATTATAATGTGCTGTCTTTATTTTAGTAAATGTAAACACATATTTACTATAATTAGGTTAATCTATGACTTTCTCAGCTACTTGTAAATGTGAAGATAGATAAGTTTTGTTACCATTGGCTAGCTATAAAAAAGGAGTGATTTAAAAAATAAAAATCATTTAACGATCACATTAAGTAGATAAAAACTTCTTAGAATGTTCAGTTTGGAAAATTGATTCATGTTTATAGATGAAAATACTTTGCAATATTTTTCAGTCCTTTTGTCTTCAGAAATTCCAAGTATATTTTCTCATAGAATTCTTAATATGTTAGCCAAATGCTATCTTGGTAACTGTAAATATTGTTAAATTGTATCCAATAAACTTGATAGTCAAGCAGAAGTTTTTATAAATATGCGAGCATACGTTTAAATAACATTGTAATATAGTTAAAGTAAGTATGTAATCATTACATAGAGACTTGTAAACTTGTCCTACTAATACCTTAATTATTAAAGAGTTTATGATTTTAATTTAGACTGTAGAAATTATTCCTTCAGATTATCTCAGTGTCACTAAGCTTTGTACTATACTGTACTACAGTGAAGGGAGCAGTAGCAGTGTCAGTTCAGAGAAGTTAAGTACAGATAAGAGAAGTAGTGAAGACCACAGGAAGGACAGCAAGTGTAGGATCATTTTCCATTATGGACCTTTCCAGGGAACAGCCAGGTAAAATCAAGCAATCCTTTACTCTGTTGTTGTTTCTGTTGTTTTGTTTTTTAATATATTACCCTTATGTATTCCACCTTCTTACAAATATGTTCTTTCTGCAGAGGTTGTTGGATGGATGTATGGGAACTTATGTCCCAGGAATGCAGGGATGAAGTAGTTTTAATTGACTCCAGTTGTCTTTTAGAAACACTAGAAACATATCTTCGAAAACACAGGTAAGTCTAATGGTCATTACAGTATAAAGTGGAAGGTGCTTTAGCTGTCAGTCATCTAGAATGCCTGTCACTGACTTCTTTTGTATAATAGTACTCTAGCCTTCCCATCAATACCTGGCACTAGGCAGGGCATTAAGTCAGGGTAAACAGTTCCTTCATGGGATGACTCTCAGTGTTAGCTGCCTTCTGTTGAGTCAGAATCTCCTATTTTGTAATTTTTATCTGTTGGATCCAGACCAGCTTTTCAAGAAACACAGAATGACTGAATCAAGTAAAGTGTGCTCAATCACTCTGAAAACTCTAGTACTCTGATGTTTTTATTTGTTTGTTTTATTAGAGTCAGGCTGTTGCTCTGTCACCCAGACTGGAGTGCAGATGCACAGCTCACTGCGGACCTCAAACTTCTGAGCTCAAGTGACCTTCCTGCCTCAGCCTCCTCACTAGCTGAGGCTATGGGTGCATGACTGCGCCCACTAATTCTTGTTTTTATGATAGAATCATTTTATGATGACATTTTCAAAATTAAAATTAGTAGCTTTTCTCTTAGTAATATTTTGAAGTATTTCTTCTACCATTGTCAGGACCTAAAAATAGAGTTGGAATTTGTGTACTTCATTACTATAAAAGTAACTTCAGATTTTTCTTTTTAGACTACTACTTTTACAAAGGAATTTTCTAATGTCATTAACATTTGGAAATTCGTAGGGAGGGAGAGTGCAGTAGGAAAGGAAACTGGTAAGGGAGCCATCTATCGATGGCATTCTTATGGGGAGTTCTGTTTAAATTTGTTTCATGTTGGGCTTGTGGTTGTGTTTTCTTTGATCTTGGGACAGATAATACATAATTGCTTTGGGGCACTTCTAAAAGACAGGTGAATGATTAAAAACTGGTTTTATTAAGATAGGTGTTTATGTGGCAGTAAGCAAATGACTTACAACCACACTAATTTAATAGGTGTTTTTCTTTTCTTTCTTTCTTTTTTAAGAGATGAGGTCTCACTATGTTGCCCAGACTTGGTCTCAAACTCCTGGGCTCAAGCAATCCTCTTGCCTTGGCCTCCCTCAATGCTGGATTACAGGTGTGAGCCACTGCACCTGGCCTTTTTTTAAAGTTACAAACTTTCTTTATTTGTCTTTTTGGTTGGTTATATCCAAGAGAGTAGAGAATGTATCACTTATTAGGAGTTTTGGGAGGACCATATAGATATAAAACATGTCCTTTCCTTTTGGATATGAATATAATGATAGCTTTTTTTGGGTGATAAATTACTAGTTGTCATAGCTGATGTTTTGGAATTTCCTATAATGGTTGTATGTATGTCTTATGTTTTGGGACAATGTTTTATATTTTTATGAAGGTGGAGTCATTTTGTAAATATCTTAATGGTAGAGGAAAAGTATGGTTAAGAGAGTAATTAATCAAGGGGGATTGCATTGAATCTGGGTTCTACCAGTTATAACTGTGTATGACTTACTTGACTTTTCTGTGCCTCAGTTTTTCAATTCTTTAAGACAAAAAGGATAGTACTGATCTTATGAGAATGATCGTAGGATGAAATTAAATTTGTTGTAAGGATTGATGATATAGTAAGGCTTATTTAGAATAATTCTTAGCACATAGCAAACACATCAGAGAATGTTTGCATGCCAGCTTTGCAAGTCCTTTTCATTCCTGTGTTTCCAGTTCTTGTTTTAGTTTGAGTTTTGGGGGGTATAATCAGTTGAAAATGATTTATAAACATCTAAATAATGTACCTTTTTGATGGTATCTCCATTTTAAAAAAATACTTTATAATAAAGATTTGATAACTCAATTTAGCCATCTAAGGATTATCTTAGATTTTCATTAGAAATGAGATATAAGTAAACTGAAACTTCTGCCTTAAAAGTACTTTTAAAATTTATGTATAGTGTTACTTTGGCAAATGGGAAAAATCACTTTCATTTTTACAGTTTCCATATAATATTTTTAACTTGCTATTATGCTTATAGTTGTACAATCAAGCATATATTAAACTACTCTGAGGGTTTTTTTTTTAAATCCCCAACACTGAAAGCAAACAATACTCTGAGGGTTTAAGGAACTAAAATAGGGGGGAGATATTTCAAGTTTTACTATTATACTCTTTGACATTTGGCCATTTATTTATCTGAAAATGTAAACTTGCCATTTATAACCTGAAAATGTGGAAATATTTGTTGTTATTTCTGTGTCTGTTTTTCTCCCTTAAGGGGGAAACTTTCCTTTTTGTTGTTGGTTTTTTTTTTTTTGAGTTGGAGTCTCACTCTGTCACCCAGGCTGGAGGGCAGTGTCATGCTCACGGCCACCACAGCCTTGACCTGCTGGGCTTAGGCGATCCTTCCGTCTCAACCTTCCAAGTAGCTGGAACCACAGGCATGTGCTATCATGCCCAGCTAGTTTTTCTTGATTTATTGTAGAGACGAGGTCTTGCCAAGTTGCCAAGGCTGGTCTCGAATCCATGAGTTCAGGTAATCCTCTCACCTTGGCTTCCCAAAGTGCTGGGATTATAGGTGTGAGCCACCATGCCCAGCCCTCACTTTTTTTTTTATTGTGGTTTAAAAAAACCACAAAACATAAATTACCCTCTTAACAGTTTTTAAGTGTACGTTGCAATGTTGTTAATCATATGCACATTGTCATACAACACATCTCTAGAACTTTTTCATCTTGCATGACTAAAATTGTCCCCACTGAACATCAACTCATTTTTTTCCTCTTCTTAGCCCCTGGTAGCCACCATTCTTTCTGTTTCAATTATTTTAGATACCTCATATAAGTGGAATCAAGCAATATTTGAATTTTTGTGATTGGCTTATTTTAATTAGCATAATGTGCTCAAGAGTCAACTATATTGTGGCAGATGACAGGATATCATCTTTTTTACTTATTAATTTATTTACTTATTTGTGCTAGAATCTCACTTTGTCACACCCTCTGGAGTGCAGTGTACACGTGTGCTCACAGTCACCACAGCCACAACCTGCTGGGCTCAGGCTATCCTTCTGCCTCAGCCTTCCAAGTAGCTGGAACTACAGGTGGGCACCATCACACCTGACTACTTTTTTTATTTATTGTAGAAACCAGGTCTTGCCAAGTTGCCCAGACTGGTCTCGAGCCCTTGGACTCAGGCAGTCCCTCTTGCCTCTGGCATTACAGGTGTGAGCCACTGCACCCGGCGATTTCATCTTTTTTTAAGTTAAATAATGTCACATTTTATGTATGTGCCACATTTTCTTTATCCATTCATTCATTCATTGGGGCATATTTAGGTTTCTTCCACATTTTGCCTGTTGCAAACAATGCTGCAATAAACCTGGGTGTGCAAATATCTCTTTAAGATCCTGCTTTCAGTTCTTTTCGATACCAAGAAGTTCTTTGATATACCAAGAAGTGGGATTGCAGGGTCATAAGGTAGTTTTATTTTTATTTTGAGGACCCTCCATGCTGGTTTCCATAGCAACTGTACCATTTTACATTCCCACCAACAGTGTGTAAGTATTCCAATTTCTCCATATTCTCAGTAACACTTGTCTTTTTCTGACTTTTTGATAGTGGCTATCCTTATGAACACAAGGTGATATGTCATTGTGTTTTTTATTTCCTTTTCCCTGATGATTAGTGATGTTGAGCATCTTTTTGTATGCTTGCTGGCCATCTGTATATCATCTTTGGAGAAATGTTTGTTCAAGTGCTTTACCCGTTTTTTAATTGAGCTGTTTTTTGTTACTGTTGTTACCATTGAGTTGTAGGAGTTCTTTATATTCTAGCTATTAACCTCTTATCCAACATATGGTTTGCAAATATTTTCTCCCATTCTTTGAGTTGCCTTTTTATTCTGTTGGTCATTTCCTTTGCCGTACAGAAGTTTTTAAACTTAATGTACAGTCATGTGCCACATAATGACATTTTGGTCAAAGATGGACCACATATGACATTGATCCCTTAAGATTATAATGAGCATACTGTGTAAAGAAACCTGCTATATGGCACTTGATATTGGCATTGCAGAGCAAGTAGGGAAAATGATATTTAGTATTGGTGCTGGGACATTTGGTTTTTCATATTAAAATAATATAAATATATATACCATCTAGGTTTGTGTAGGTATACTCTGTTGTTTGTACAGCGATGAAATCACCTAACAATGCATTTCTGAGAACATAGCCCATTGTTAAGTAACACATGACTGTAGTCTATTTTTGCTTTTGCTATATGTGTTTTTGGTGTCATATCCTGGAAATCATTGCCAGACCAATGTCACGCAGCTTTTTCTATTTGTATTCTTCTGCGAATTTTGGTTTCAGATATTAACATTTAGGTCTTTAATCCATTTTGTGTTAATTTTTTGTATATTTGTATGTCCATATTTAAAGCTTTAGTGAAATATGACATAACATTACTTGTTAGCACTGTTGCCTCTGTTTACCAAGTGGGCTTAGAGCCTCTAATTTATCGTATTCATATCAAGAAACATAGTTATCTACTATTGGACCAGAAAGACATATGTCAAATGTACGGCAGTAGAAGGGTAAATATTACAGTAAGAAGTGTTAATTCAGAAGCACAGAGAAAGGGGTTTTGTTGTTGTTGTTGTTTTGAGTTAGAGTCTCACTCTGCTACTGTAGCCTCAACCTGCTGGATTCAGGTGATCCTTCCGCCTCAGCCTTCCAAGTAGTTGGAACTACAGGCTTGTGCCACCATGCCCGGCTAATTTTTTTTGATTTATTATAGAGTCGAGGTCTCGCCAAGTTGCCCAAGCCGGTCTTGAGCCCCTGGACTCAGGCAATCCTCTCATCTCCACCTCCTAAAGTGCTGGGATTATAGGCTTAAGCCTCTGCACCCGGTTGAGACTTATATTCTAAAACAAATAATCAGAAGTGAGTTCTTTGAGTGAGTATACCAGCTCGCTCCCTAGTTCCATGGTATCAGATTAAACACCCATTTCTCCCACAATAAAAATAAATAATCAGATTTGTTTTAGGGAAAATTATTTTGGTGTGTGAGATATATTAGTGCTAGGAAGAGTGGAAACAGGAAAGCCAGTTAAGAAGCTTTTTTTTTTTTTTTTTGAGTCAGAGTCTCACTCCATAGCCCAGACTGGAGTACAGTGGCATGCTCACGGCCACCCCCATGTTGACCTGCTGGGTTCAGGCAATCCTTCCGTCTCAGCCTTCCAAGCAGCCAGAACTACAGGTGCACACTACCACACCTGACTAATTTTTTGTTTTATTGTAGAGATGAGGTCTTGCCATGTTGCCCAGGCTGGTCTCGAACCCGCAGACTCAGGCAATCCTCTTGCCTTGGCCTCCCAATGTGCTGCAATTACAGGCTTGAGCCACTGCGCCCGGCTGAGAAGCTTTTTAAAAAATTGTCTAGGCAACTTAAACTAGGGCAGAGGGAATTGGAAAGAAAGGGACCTGCAAGAGATATGAGATGTGAGAAAGATGGAATTGATGTCAATTGGCTCCACCTAGGGGGGCGTAGGGAGACGTTGGAATCAGCTGAACTCTCCAGCCTGGGTGACTTTGGGAATGGTGATGCTGCCTGTTGGACATTTGTTACGTCCCACCATTTTTCAGTATGGTCCTGGTCCTAGGCAAGAGCAGAGACTTGAACAGAGCTGTAGAGTCACGAGTTATTATAGACATGTTGATTGAACCCAAAGGAGTAGATGAGCTGACTTGGGAGATATCAAAGAGATCAAAATTTCCTTGTTCCGTCGTAACTGATCTTCTCAACTCAACCAGTTACTGGTATTGTAAACTTAGCTTTTTCATCATCAGGATCTATTCTGTTTTCTTTCTGATTGATTAATGTTTTGTTTCTAAAAGAAAATTTCTTCCCTATCTACATTCACAAACTATTCTATACTTTTGCCACATTATGTGCACTTTAAGTTTAAACCAGTTTGTATGTATATGTTGTCATATTTTTTGTCTGTTTATTCAGAAATAGCTTTTTTTAGAAGAAATAATTGGCATTTTGGAAATTATCAGTAAATTTAAAAATACATGTGTTACTTTCCTATTTTCTTCCTACCACCCCCCCCAAATGCTTTCGTTAATAATGTATTAAAATACTGTAGTAAACATTTGGATCAAGGTTTACTGGCTGAAAATACCATCTATTTTCAGAGGCTGGAGAGAAAAAGTACATAGCCAAGAGTCATTGGTTTGTTGTTTCTGTTGTTTTATTTCTGGCCTATGTAAATAACTGTTGAAGTGGAGATATGCTAGTCCTTGGAGGCTAACATTTTTTGGGCATGTATTTTATGAATATGTCTGCTTCATTCTTTTAGGGTATGTGCTTCTCTAGCTTAAAAATTATTTGCAAATGGAGATCTGGCTATATATATGTATTCCCAAAATTGGTGTTGACTTTACACGCATGTTTTAAATGTGTATGGAGGCTTTTTTAAATGATCTAGAGAGAAGGGAGTGTCATCATATACACTGTTATATGCTGCATAAAATAATTACACAGCCTGTTCTTAATTTTGAGGTTTTTCTTTTCAACAGGTTTTGTACTGATTGCAAAAATAAAGTCCTTCGGGCATACAATATCCTTATTGGTGAACTTGATTGCAGCAAAGAAAAGGGCTACTGTGCAGCACTTTATGAAGGCTTGCGGTGCTGTCCACATGAACGACACATACACGTTTGCTGTGAAACAGACTTCATTGCGCATCTTTTGGGTCGTGCTGAGCCAGAGTTCGCAGGAGGGTATGAGTATGTAATTTGCTAGAATGGGCTATCTAGCGCTTTGCTTCATTTTATTACTGAAAGTTTATTTCCGTCACCTTCTGCTTCAGTACATATGATATATGTGTAAACCAAAGTGTGCCTTTAAAGATTTTGCTTTTCTTTAAAATATGCATTTCTTAATTGAATGAAAATTAAGAAAAACTGTTCTTTGGTGTTTGGTTCAGTCCTCTGCTCCTTGCTTGAAGGACGGCAGACATTTTTGGCTTTCATTTTTATAGATTTATCATTTTCACTTGAAAATGATTAGAAGAGATTTCTCTCCTTCCATCCGTGCATTATAATGTTTAAATTTTATTCACAATGATGGTATTTGCATAGGACGTGAGATCTTTGCTCTAGGGGGTTAATAAATGCTTTATTGAATGTAATTCATGAACTGTATATTGTTATTAAATTATATTAGAACCTAAAATGTAATCCCTGGCTTTGTTGTGAAAATAAAATTAGAGAAATTTTCTTATAGAATAAATCAAACCCATTTCCCTTTGTGTTTAGGATATCAACCCTCAGTTGAGTGTCTACTTTATTCTAGGCATTTTAGGATACAAAGATCTCTTTTATCACAGAAGTTCTGCAAATACTTCTGAAGACTAGGCAAAAGGGTTGTTGCCTATGATTGAATCACTTTGGCATTGCCTTTCTCCATTCTGCCTCAAAACAAACAAAAATCCAAGTGAATGGGGAAAAAAAAGTTTTCCTATAATTGGAAAGTGAAAGGAACTGTTATGCCTACTAAGAGCTGAACATTTATGTATATGACTTCTTTGTGCCCTAAAACCCTTCTCTTTAGAGCCAGTTCCTGAATTACCCTACTTTTAACAATATGAAGACTAGATTCTACTTGCATGTGTGTTTCTCATTGATTATATATATGCGTGCTTATGTATTTGCATATACATTAACTGTCTATAAATGTATAACTGTCTTGTTATTAGGTAGGCAGCTTATGTTTAAAACCTGGACTTTCAAATAGTGGTGTTATCCGTCTTTTGCTCTTTCAGTTAAGTGTATTAGGAATTAATGTTTGATTTATTCTCCTTCATAGACGAAGAGAAAGGCATGCTAAGACAATAGATATAGCTCAAGAAGAAGTTCTGACCTGTTTGGGAATTCATCTTTATGAAAGATTGCATCGAATCTGGCAAAAACTACGAGCAGAAGAGCAGACATGGCAGATGCTTTTCTATCTTGGTGTTGATGCTTTACGCAAGAGTTTTGAGGTAAGAACAGTAGGCTGATTCAGTGTTCAAGGCTGCTTAGTCAAGTTATTACATGGAGTCTTACTGCAAGCCACCAGTGCCTCAGAGGGCTGTGATCCACTGATACAGTTTATGGCTTTGGATAGATATAGTTCCATGGCTGTGGGTAGGGAAAGGCTCTGGGAAATTGGGATTTAGAAGTTTATGAGTCGGGCGTGGTGGCTCACACCTATAATACCAGCACTTTGGGAGGCCGAGGTAAGAGGATTTCCTGAACCCACGGGTTAGAGACCAGCCAGAGCAACTTGGTGAGACCTCATCTCTACAATAAATCAAAAAATTAGGGGTGTGGTGCCACACACCTGTAGTTTCAGCTACTTGGAAGGCTGAGGCGGGAGGATCGCGTGAACCCAGTAGGTCAAGGCTGCAGTGGCCCTGAGCATGCCACTGCACTCCAACCTGGGTGACAGAGTGAGACTCCAACTCAAGGGAAAAAAAAAAGTTTGTGAATTTTTCTTTATTTTTTAATCCTGTTACACTTCCAGCATTAGATTTTAGGCTTTCTCGGAGTAGAAAACTGAAGTTGATGATTAACAAGATACTGCTATGAAACATAACTAGTGAAAAATTAAAAGGAGCTAAGAAATAAGAAAATTAAAAACCTTTTATGAGTCTCACTTTGCCTACTGATGTCTACTAGTATGAAGTAAATGCTGTCCGAGTGCCATGATACAATAACTCCTTTTTAGAAGCACACTGAAGTCTCTTTATAATGCAAGTATTAGTGCTTGTATTTTGGAAACATTTTTTCTAGTTATACTCCATAGAACATAAATATTTGGTTAATGATTATTTTGCATATTACCAGGGCATGGTTGTAACCCTTTCTTTTTTTTTTTGAATCAGGAGGCTCACTCTGTTGCCCAGGTTGGAGTGCAGTGGTATGCTTACAGCCACCGCAACCTTGACGTGCTGGGCTCAGGCGATCCTTCCACCTCAGCCTTCCAAATAGCTGGAACTACAGGCGTGTGCTACCACACCTGGCTTATTTTTTGATGTATTGTAGAGATGAGGTCTCACCAAGTTGCCCAGGCTGGTCTCAAACCCCTGAGCTCAGGTAACCCTCTTGCCTCAGCCTCTCAAAGTGCTGGGATTATAGGCTTGAGCCACCATGCCAAGCCTGGTTGTAACCCTTTAACTGGGTTGTTGGTCCCTCTTGAGAACAGAATAATAGAATAGAGAAACTTTTTTTCATAAGTCTATCAATGAACTTTAAGCATCCTGTTCTGGGGAGTCTGAGGAGATTTGTACTAGTTCTTGATGAATTCTTATCCTTTGTATGTTTGAACCTTCAGAGATCAGATCATTTAATTAGGTTAAGTCTTTTCATTATGTGAAGAAATGAATGAATGTTTACTTTTGCTATGATAAAATTCTGAAGTTTAAAACTAGAATGTGCAGAATGAGGTGGCTCATGCAGGTAATCCCAGCACTTTGGGAGGTGGAGGCAAGAGGATTGCCTGAGCCCACAGGTTTGAGACCAGCCTGGGCAACATGGTGAGACCTCATCTCTACAGTAAATAAAAAAATTAGCTGGGCATGATGGCGCACACCTGTTGTACCAGCTGTTTGGAAGACTGAGGCAGAAGGATCACCTGAGCCCAGAAGGTCGAGGCTGCAGTGAGTGCCACTGCACTCCAGTCTGGGTGACAGAGTGAGACTCCAGCAAACAAATAAATAAACCAATAAATAAATAAATAGATCTAGAATGTTGCTGGTTTAGGATAAGAGTGTGTATATTTCCATGGAAAATTAAGGTAGTTCTGACCAATATTCACTCAACCTTGTTTTTACAATAGATGACTGTGGAAAAAGTGCAGGGTATTAGCAGACTGGAACAACTTTGTGAGGAATTTTCAGAAGAAGAACGAGTAAGAGAACTCAAGCAAGAAAAGAAACGCCAAAAACGGAAGAATAGACGAAAAAACAAATGTGTGTGTGATATTCCTACTCCTTTACAAACAGCAGATGAAAAGGAAGTAAGCCAAGTTAAGGTAGTATTTCTCAAGGTCAACTCATAAATATGTGCCTGGGGGGGGGACCCAGAAAAACCCAGAATTATCTTTTGGAGTGCAAGCCCCTTGTAGTACACTCAGAATTTGTTCCTCCAGATCAAACAGTTAACCAAAGTTGTTATCTGGAAGTTTTGAGAAAGTTGTATCACGATTTGTGGAAAAAAACATCCCAAGTTGTGGCAAGCAAGTGATTCCTTCTTTCAAAAACTGCTGAGTGTTCAGCAGTTTTTGAGCAAAAATTGTGTGACCTTTGTGCCCCACCCTCCCTATTCACCCAATTTCTCCCCGAGCAGTATTTTTTTGTTTCCCCGATGAAAAAAGTTCTCAAAGAAAACATTTTGTCAGTGTGGAAGAAGTGAAACAAAAAAGGGCAGAAGTGCTAAAAGGCATCAAAATTGATGAGTTCAAAGCTGTTTTGAGCAGTGGAAAAAGTGTCTCTATAGCTGTACTGCATCAAACAGAGTGCTTTGAAGGTGAATGAAGTTTAAACATGGAAGAATAAATACACAATTTTTTATAAATAAATTCTGGGTTTTATTGGGTCCCTCCTTGTAAGTATTTTAGATAGAAATACAATCATCTGTTAGTCTCAGTGGATGTTGGTTCTAGGACCTTCTTTGGGTAGCAAAATCTGCAGATGCTTGAGTCCCTGATATAAAATGGCATAGTATTTGCATATAACCTATGCACAAACTCCTGTATACTTTAAATCACCACTAGATTACTTATGACACCTAATGCAGTGTAAGTGCTATATATATTAGTTATGCTGTATTGTTTAGGAAAAAAGGATGAGAAAAAAATGTCTGTATGTGTTCAGTACAGATGCAGTATTTTCCCTGAATAATTTTGAGCCTTAGTTGGTTGACTTTCCAATTTGGGCATTTTTACTATGCTTTTCCAGATGTGAGCTTCTGCAGTTGTATGTTGCTTTTTTCCTGTTATAGTCTGTATAAGCCACACGTTGTAATGTGGTGTTTGTTTTATAAAGATGATGTTGTGTAGTTATCTCTTTACCTGACTTTAGTGTGCTATTAGAGCAAAGTCAAAGTGTAGAAAGCGCCAGGCACAATTACTCACACCTGTAATCCCAGCACTTTGGGAAGCTGAGGTGGGAGAATTGCTTGAGCCCAGGAGTTTGGGCAGTACAGTGAGACCTCATCTCTACAAAAAAAAAAAATTAGTCAAGTGTGGTGGTGTGTGGTTGTAGTCTTAGCTACTTAGGAGATTGAGATGGAAGGATCGCCTGAACTCAGGAGATCAAGACTGTGGTGAGCCATGATTGTGCCACTGCACTCCAGACCTCAGTGACAGAATGAGACCTTGGCTCCTAGAAAAAAAAAGTGGAAAGCTACCTCTATGCATAACCTAGAGTAGTTCTCAACTTTTTGGTTTCAGGATCCCTTTACAGTCTTAAAAATAAAGGTGCCAGTGAGCTTTTTCTTATGTGAGTTATACTTATTGATATTAATTGTATTAGAAATTAAAATGGAGAAACTTTAAATTATTCATTCAAAAATAATAAGCCTATTATAAGTTAACTAAATTTTTTTTTTCTGAGTTGGAGTCTCACTCTGTTGCCCAGACTGGAGTGCAGCGGCACACTCCCGGCCACCACAGCCTCGATCTGCTGGACTCCGGCGATCCTTCTGCCTCAGCCTTCCAGGAGCTGGAAATACAAGCGCGTGCTACCACGCCTGGCTAATTTTTTGATTTATTGTAGAGATGAGGTCTCACCAAGTTGCTCAGGCGGGTCTCGAACCCGCGGGCTCAGGCAGTCCACTCACCTCAGCCTCCTAAAGCACAGGATTACAGGTTGAGCCACCGAGCCCGGCTAACTAAGTATTTTTTAAAATGTATTTATTTACTTGTGGGGTACGAGTGAGGATTAACTACGTATGTAGGCTGCATGCAGGTGAAGTCTGAATGCTTTTTTTGTTGTTGTTGTCATAACCTGAGAGGGTTCTTTTTTTTTTTTTAAGTATGTAGGGTACAATTATTCAGGGTTAGGTATACAAATGTTCATTATGCAGGTACCCTTGTTGATGAGGTGTGCCCCCCTCTACCCTGGCAGTTTCCCACTGCTGCCAATCCCGCACCCCC